GTTTATTGGTTATTTCGGGTCTTACTGTATACTACTTGTATCAGCTTTGAATTTGCAATAAAGGTCAGGTTGCGGCGGTCAGCTTGACATGGCTACCAGCGGTGTGTGAGAAATAACATTATTAAGAATCCCAACTGGCCGAGGGCAAACCAGTTAGCTATTTACAATCATGGCCTAGGATTTGAACTCGGAGCTACCGTGAAACAAATCCAGGTAGTGGTCAGGGCGGGACTCGAGCCCCGGAGCGCTGGATTGCGAGTCCGACACGCTGACCACTCGGCCACACTGCCTTTAAACGCATCTCTAAGGAGCTTGATCTTACCCTTGGTGGTTGGTACATGCATGTATTACCCGGTGCTGGATCGAAGCACTTACCTTCTCCCTGTGTTTCAGCACCAAAGTTGAACCGTCAAAAGACAAAAATAGATTTGATATTATTCTAAATGACAGGAGCACATTGGATGGTGGATTATCGTCCCTGGGGAGGCAAATTATTTGTTGAAATCACCAGGAAAGAACCAAATGAATTTTAAAAACCGGTAGCCGGAAAAACAGTTTTCCTGTGCTCTTTCCAGCTACCCTTAGAGTGCTCAAAAAACGAAGCTCCCCCTTGTCAGCCCAACAAGAGGGTCTCAAGGGGATTAACCGTTAGCCGTAAAACGGCAAAAAAAAAAAATAGCCGTTAGGCGTAAAAATTGACGAAGAATTTTAACACTTACTCGTAAAAAAAAAGTTGACCAGAAAGTTTTTCTTTTAACAACAAAGGAAAAAAAAATGACCGTTTACTCGTAAAATGGCCAAAATTTTAACCGGTAGCTGTAAAAGCCATCACCTCGTTTAGACCCTCTTACAATAGCACTTGCCATACCACGGTCACTATTTCAAATCTCAATCTTTCGTTCAACGCATGTGTGAAAATTTGGTTTGACTGCGAAGAGGGAAAGTTTATTTTTGAGCACCTTAAATATTTTCGGCAAGTGTCTTGGAAAACTGTTTCTAGCCACCAAAGACAAAAAAACATGTCGACTTCTAATTTTCCTTGCAAGACTCCTGAAACATATAAGCTTTTCCTTATTTGCAACAGCAGTATAGAAATAAAATGCACTTCACTCAAGACTAACAAAATGTCTGTACCTTGTACAAGCAAGCAAGTGAGCCATAAGATTGTCTCCCTCAGACCCGCTACAACACACGTTGGCAATAGATGGAAATCGCACAGCCAGGCGTAGAATATCCAGAGCTGTTTGAAAGACAACAATTAAGACGAATATTCCACGATTAAGCTCTCCTAACACCACCTTGAAATTTGCGATGGGGTACGGGCGGGAACAACTAGGCAAAGAAAATCTCGGTCATCCTGCATTCGTCAAAAATTCCCTCAAGACCTTTCTCCTTGAGTTTCTTTCAACGAATCATTTAATTTGATTCTAAAACTCACACAACTGAAGTTGGTTCAAATACTTAAAAACTCAGGAAAACTGTAGTCAAAGACGAGGGCCACGAAATCGATATAAATTTTCCATGTCGAAGAGCCGCCAATTGGACATTATACCCCTCACGACATTCAAGAATAAGCAACTATGAAACCACTACGTAAGCAAAACAAAGAATAAATTTTAATAAATACAATTATGTTAACTCCAGTTAGAAAGCGGCAAATGTAAGAGTAGAAGAACGTGACCAAATGAAAGTAAAAGACAGCCTTATGATAACTTAGAGTCAAACTATCACACACACCTGGGAATAGCTGATTTTGTGGCCACTTTAGAGCCTTCACGAGTAGAGACATGTATGCAACCTTTGGTGATTTACACTTATCTGCAGCGGCTCCTACGTCGTTTAATAGTTCTATAAATAAAAATCAGGGAATTTGCTTGAGCCTGTGCTCTCCCATGACCAGTATCAAGAGGATATGAAGTTCTCTCTTGCCAATACATAATGTTGCGAAGACCATGTCAAGTTCAATTCGGTCTTAGATCGACAATCGCGGACGACAGCGAAGCAGAAGTCTGATTTCGTTAATCTGCAGCATGGTTATTTAATTATATATCACCAATTAGTACAATTTCAGAGCTGAGCAAAGAGTTTCCAACAATCTGATTGGTCGAGCGGTTCCTTATATGACGCTGTATAAACCGCTCCACGCGGTTTATATAAAATGTTAAAATAAAATGTTCATAAATGTTACTAAAATGTTATGATTTTAGAAATTTCTCTGTTGTTCAGCTCTGAAATTATACTAAAACAATTATTCGCCTCAGGTTCGGGGATTATTCGACGATATTCACCTCGCCTTCGGCGAATAATTGTTAAATAGTAAAACCTATAAAATATTTTGAGACGCGAAATACCATCGATTGAAAACATTCATATAGAAAGACATATCAACTGGACTTATTTCACGAGAAAATGAACACATTACGAGAAACCGAAAATCAAAATGTCAAATTTCCAGCATGACGCAAACGCAATCTGCTCAGAATTCTCAAATCAGACAGCTAATAACCAATCACGTTCGAGAATTTTGTCACAGCCTTAATAAGTGTGGGTAATCAATCACAAATGGAGGCTAAAAGTATGCACTTCATTCAATTCAAGTCTTAAGGGCTCACCTGTTAAGTTTTTTAGTTCATCTTCTGATAATTTTTGATCCTGGAGAGAAAAATCGGAAACAAATATAACACAAGAAGCTAAGAAAAAGCCCAAGAACAATAACAATAAAGAAAACAGTTTAAATAAGAATTAACGATATTAAATGACAAACTCTTCATGGGTAGAATTGCAAACCGATTTTAGTTCAAGGTAGAGGGTCTCCGCGTAAATCTAATACGTTGCAATTTTAGATTCTTCATACCTTCCCGGGACTTCTACATTAGCTAAAACTCGCGGGTCTAAAATAACGTACTAACCTCTTCTAAACTTTCATTAAATTCCTTTAATTTACCAGCGATCGCATTGACGTTTGCGCTATCAAACGACACACATGATGTCTACAAAAACAATTACATTGAATTAGTTTACCACTAAAATTACATATTGCAATGATCAAAATGTATACAGAGGGCCAACGGCGGTTTAAGAAATGTTTCTTTGGTCAAGATGATATTACCAAGCGGTCTCTTTAACTCCCTGAAAAGATTGCCATGTCATTTCCGTTGGCAAATTCAATACACCATATTGCAAACAAGTGGTAGAACAGACAAACATATCAACTGGAGGGTGTTGCCTTGATGTAACACCACAATCTTTTGCCTGATATACAAGGAAATGTTTGGGAATCAGAAGGAAAAAACACGAATTGGATCTTTATGGTTCAAAGATAAAAGAAGCTAGGTCACGTTTCATGCATCTTGAAAAATGAAGCCTTCATTTTTCAAGAGCACCATTTGCAAACCGTGCCAACCTTCTCAATTATACCACCAGCCACGACACTCTTATGAACCTCTTACGACACTCTTGCGACACTCTTACGACACTCTTACGAAACTCTTGCGACCCTCTTTTGATTCCCCTTGAGTAAGAGAAGAGGCCAAATGCTATGGGACGTGGAAAATCGTGCATCGTTTTAAACTGCAGCAATAAGTTGAAATAGGTGCTTTACAATTTTGATCTGCACAAGTAGAGTGCTTTAATGTTTTACGCGAAAATAATAAATAAGGATGAGGTAAACAGTTCAGCGACAGGTTTACCTTAGGAAAGTAAGGATTAGACTTTGCCGTGGAACTTTCATTAGCTGGACTGACTTGAATACTAGCCTGTCCTGATCTGTAACTACTGGAACCTGAAATAAATAATGAAAAAAAAAAAAAGAACACTGACAACAAGCAAACGAGGAACTTTTCTTTCATTAAAGTGCGTGGGCAAGCTGAGAAATCTTCGAGTGCTACGGAACCTAAAGATTAATAAAAGTAGACTCGATTTTTAACCTCAACCTTTAATCAACTAAGCACCACTCTAGCTTTCAGCCTTTTCATGCAAACAAAAAATTCACTTTTTCAGTTTTTTTTTTTAATCACATCTCTTAATTAAAAAAAGTGACATCGGACTTAGTAGGTAGGGTTTTGGGGAGCAGTGATAGCAATGCACACCACAGCTGTGGCCTGGGTCTGATTCCCGGACATGGCTTCATATGTAGATTACGTTTTTCGTTGGTTCCCGTCCTTGCTCCAGGGGTTTTTCTCTGGTTTTCCGCCTTACATCAGTACAAACCCACCATAAAAACTCCCATATCGCCTGATTAACAATAACGAAGAAAAGCCATATCGAGTACGTCTACCATTAAGTCCAATATTAATTGATTAATTGCCTTTTTTGCCACGTACTGACCTGTGAATGGATCCACCCCTCCCGTGTTAGTCTGTGGAGATGAGTATGAAGGTCTGTAGCTACCACCACCTATGGTGTAAAGACAATAACTGAAGTAGAGCTATATCAAGTGTACTGTCCCTTACGGCGCTCACAACTCGAGGAATACACTCCCTAAACAAATCGCCACGAAGTAACTCAACCCTTTAACCCCCAAAGGTGATTAACATGTAACCTCTTCAGGTAATATCCATATATTATTAGATGGCTGTGTCTCACAAGGACTGGGAACTACCGAATTCACGAATTTGATTGGCTGAAATCAAAATTGAAAGCGGTCTAGATTTTCCCATCTAGACCGGTCTAGAAAAAAAAGTTACATAGAATATGTTCCGTTGCTTTCTAGACACAGCCATATGATAAACATCTTATTAACCGCGCTAGGTCGGTCTGTACGGGAGAATCTTGACCTCGGTCTGTACTGGCGACCTCGGTCAAGATTCTCCCATACAGACCTCCCGCTCGGTTAATAAGAACTAATTATCCAGTAAACAAGTCATGGGAATACTCAAACTTATCAAGTAGAATTTGTTACCCTGATCTAACACCAAATTCTTGTGACCGATTAACAAGGTAATGGGAGAATTAACAATCAGATCAGGGAGAATTAAAGAGTAAAAATCCTTTATTTAAACACGATCAGTAGTTAAAGCAAAATACACGCTTGTGGGGTCGTTAACATTGACATTGCAAAAGGATAATAATAAAGTTAAAAACTCTGGGATCAAATGAAAGTAAGGACACGGTCAAATACCTGTAAAGGGATCTACAGCTCCTCCCAAATTGACATCTGTTACTGTCTGAGAAGGCGCTGCTGATGGAATATACCGTCCTACTCCTGCAGTACAACATTCAACATCAAAAGATGACAAATTTGTGGTCAAATCACAGATTCAAAAGTGTTAGATTATTTCAAGGCAAGCAGTTATTTCATGTCCTAAACATCGCCAGGAGTGGGGGGGATAAAATCAGAGAATGGACGAGTGATCCACTGAGGTTGTAAATATTTATTTTTGAAAAAGTGATACGTGCGTTTTGGAAATATCCAAGAATTTATGAAACCAACGCGACTTGCGGTGTTGGAGACAGACTTCCACTTGTTCCATGGTTTGCTCTGCTTACAACTGCTCTACAACTCACCAGTAAACGGATCAGATGCAGATGAACCTTGTTGCCCTATTGTGACACCTTTGGTATTCTTAAGTATAAAATCAACCACTTGGTCCAAGAACATCTGACTGAGATCATTCCGCTCTAGAAACTGATGCGCAGCCATCCAAGGATCATCTACAGACAGTGAAATGAACTCATGAGTAACGCACGTTTTAACGAGGTTTCTATCTTCTTTCGCTCCCCACAACCTGTCTCAACTCAATCAGAACTTCTGCATAATTAATAACTATTATCAAGCGGCAAATCAAATGATTGGTTTATGGTTGTTTCACCCCATAACAAGTTCGCCCCCATCCTTGGAGACCCAGGGGCTGTGAGTCGATTTCAAGTTAGGAGAGCCCATGGGGCTCTTCTGCCGTAACTTGAAATCGACTCACAGCCCCTGGGTCTCCGAGGATGGTTCGCCCCCTAACAGCTTTGCGATTTCGCCCTCTAGCGTAAAACAAACTCGCCCCAACTTTTACCAGCTCGTCCCTAAATCTTTCGACTCGTTTCGTTACCTCCACACCACAGAAAGTACAGTGCATTCATTTCCTGTCGAAATCATGATATGTTTCGACCAATATGCAATTTATGTTCTGTAATAAAAAAAACGTTAGGGGTAGAACTCACAAAAGTGAATAGGGGTGAACTTGCAATTCGGGCAAGTCACAAATTAGCATCAAATTACATCATTAGTATGACGTACCATTCAGGTTATATGGCAGTTTCATTCGAGGACGCCCCTCTTGAATTTCAACATCAAACACAAAATCGTATTCCTATGAGACCAAAAAAAAAAAAAAAAATGTCACAAAAAGAGTTTACCGTCGTAACCCGTCATCTTACATGGAGTTTAAACCGTACAGCTTAGGATGAATACAAACACATTTAGAGGATTTTTATCGGTAATCTGCAAGACATTCATTCTAATACTTAATCAAAACCCTGCCATACTCTGGTTTGAGAGCTAAACTGTTTGTTATCCGTTGAATCATATGTAATTATACCTTTCCATTATACATTGTTTTGTTGGTTTGGCTTGCAGCTCCTTCCGTTCCTGCTGAACCTACTACCTCACCAACCTGATTATAAAAAGAGAGGAACTTACAAGGACATCAAACAGAAAATATTAACACAAACAGAATCCTCAAACAACCTTCCCTGCGTAGATCACAAATCAATCTTTTCAAACAAAGACTGAGCTATTACCTTTTCCCATCTTGTTTCCATGCCATTCCACTAAAAACAAAAAGAATTACTCTTTAATAACTTGAAGTTATTTCCAAAGATCAGTGGTACATTATAATATCAAGGAGTACATGACATCAAGAAGAAAGATCACGTAGTTTAAAATTCGTTGATTGAGGGAACATAGGCAAAAATCCCTTTCTGAACCAGGAAATTAATTTTAGCTGATACCACAGGAATACCTCAAGAGAGTTTGAAAACATTTTAACAGACAAACAAAATAATGAAAAGTTTTCATTTCTATTCACCTGGTGACATTCAATCACATCTCCTCTTCTTATGAGTTTTGTTTGAGCACTTCTGTCACCTGAGCAGAGAATTGTATTGTATCATTTAGTAAGCAATGCGAAATAACCATCAAGGTAGATTTCACTCAATACAACTTAGCTGGGAGGACTGACAAAGTGTAATCACCTACAATACAACGCCATGATTAGTATAATGGGCCGCAGTATTTACAGTATTTCGCACTTGGCATGAGGAATCCACCTTTTGTAGTATTATTACCTGGTCTAAGAAGAGCTTCTGGTCCAGGAAGATCTTCAAGTTTGACATCACCTAACATACCACTAAATAGAAACAATGAAAAAAATTCGTAAACTTAGTGGAAGAGGACATTTGATTTCAGGCCTGGTGAGTTTTTACCATACACAACACAGTTGCTCAAGAGAGAAAAGATTGCAAATGCATCAATACTTTGAGCTGAATTGAATTTCCATAATTACATAAATTGCATGGGGTTCTTTACAAGTAGTTACATTTAAATGGAGAGTTTTAAAATGTAATTTTTACAAAGGTGTGTAATCAAAGATCAAAACCAAGGTCTGACTACTGCTAAGAATCTATTATACCTTGCAGTCTCTGCTGGTATAGCATGACTTGCAACTTCAGCATCAAATAGCTGTAGACATGAAAAGAAAGTCAGTTAAAAACAAAAAGAGCCTGACACTAATAGCTAAGGGTACATGTCAGCCAGATGGCCCACATTAGCAGAGCTTTCTACATAGCATGAACCAACCACAGGTATCGCAGCAGTACTCCCCCTGTATGGGATACCAATCAATGGTAGGTTACTACCCGGTTACTTATCCTTATTATAATTGTATACATTTCCCTTCAATAAGAATCAAGAGTGACTTGTTTACTTTGAGAGCCTGGAAAGAAAGCCAGCTGTGTTTGTAGCACAACAAACTCACAAGACTTGTTTCTGTTTTCTTTGTTTTGACTATCCTCTACCACTTTTTGTGTTTCCATTGCTGAATTGTCCAAGAATTACAAAATAATGTAGTCCTAATTCAATTTTTTCATGCCTGGGATCAAAGTAGGCAACCCTGAACAGGCAAGATGGGCCTATCTTGCCTACTCAGGTAGCCAATCAGAACACAGGATTCCCTTCATCTTGCCTACTCAGGTAGCCAATCAGAACACAGGATTCCCTTCATCTTGCCTACTCAGGTAGCCAATCAGAACACAGGATTCCCTTCATCTTGCCTACTCAGGTAGCAATCAGAACACAGGATTGCCTTCATCTTGCCCACGGGTACTGCAAGCAATGTAATAAGAAGGGAATAATGCTCATTTAGGATTGTCCACTCGGAACTGGCACAAACTAACCTGTAATTCTTCTTCTGATGCCACTCTGTCTTCCACACCAGTAAAAACACGCACAATACCATCACTAGAGAGGAGAAAGAACATGTATACACTTCCTGTAATCTAACTGTATTAAAAGAAGACAAGCTTAATAACAGAAAAAATAGTAGCCTCTAGTATATAAACAGTGCATAACATTTACTTAGTATACAAGTTGTTTACTCAAGATACTGTAAAGTGGTTAATTATTAGCAGTGTTTAATTTTCACTATTTTCTTGCAAGGGAACTTTGCGCGAAATTGCACCACGAACTCAGAGTTGGCCAGCCCCCATCTTGAATTTTTTGGGGGGTTAGTGTGACACCCAAATCCAATAAACACAGAGTTATTTACTACAAATCAACATTTATTGCACAAATCAAACCTTAAAAATATCATTTACATTCAAAGATGATACTGCATATTGTTAGACAAATTTTGTAGCACTGTAATAAATGTAAATACCATTGGAAAAATTAGAACAATGAAACAGGGGAAATCATGAAAATAAAACACCACTAAAAACGCTGAAACTTTGAATGCGCGAAATTAAACCACCGCTAAATTTAACCATTGTACAGCAATCATAAAATCTGAAGAGTTAGACATAGTTCTATAAAGAAAATGGTAAATCTCAACTTATCTGAGAGAGAAACTTGTATTTAATGTTACTTTATAAACAAAGTCTCAGCCTCTATCTAACCTTGAGCCAGTTACAATGTCTCCATTGCTCAAACATGTAACACTCCAAACTGATTGAGCAGGAAGGGTAATTGTTTGAGTGCATTCTCCCCCTGACGCAAAGGAGAATAGCAAAAATCAGTTTGACATGTTTCTAAGTTAATCAATTTTAACATGAATTTGTGTTAGAGGAATATTTTTTTGAGTAGACACCTATACCTATTATGGTGCAAATACCTCTTACTAACCTAGTCTGGGGTCAACACCAATGGTTACAGACCAAGTTTGCCCCCTTCAGTTTATGACCCAAGAGCAGGGATTTCATTGGAGGCCAGCAACTACTTAACTCCAGCCACTACTCTCCACAATGGAGCCATCTACTGTACCATGGCCATTTCACCTTCCAGTTTTCGTGTATTTTTTGGAAAACATTCAATATAATTATTCTGAAGGCAGTCATCAATAAAGGTGTTTTTTGTTGATATTTAGCCTAATTTTTGGTTGTTGGGTGATTTTTGTAACAAGTTATTAATAACAATTCAATTAACAACACAATCAGTTTGCTGTGTGCTATGTTGAATGTACAGATCTGAAGAAAAAGACTGATGACAAATCTAACTAATTTCAACTGACAGTTTCCTGCTATAAACCTGACAGAAAACTATAGAAATGGAGGAAACAGCCTACATGTACCTTTCCATATTCGAAGTGACCTGTCCTCCCCTACAGAAACAAAGTTTCCATCTCCAAGAGCTGCAATACTGTCAAAATAAGTAACACAGCAGTCAATAGAACCAAATTCCTTTTTATAAACCCCAAACTGGTACACACAATGTACAGCTTCATCTTTTAAGTTTGACCAACTACTTTAATTAGCTCAGTTAGAACAGGAAAGTGCCAAAAATTTCGTAAACTTCAACGTTCTCCAATCAATTCCCATAACTATCTCACATACATTTATTCTAAGTTATTCAAGTATGAAATCATTTTCATTGTAACTTCTTAAAGTTATACCTACTTGTCATTATTTTTATGCTTTACTGTGTATTGCAGGGGCAGATCCAGTGAATTTTAATTAGGGGGGGGGGTCTAAACTTTGGTTCAGAAGGACTGTTGGACTCTTTTGAGGCAAATTACTGTTCTCCCCCACACCCCCTCCCAGCAGTCGCGGTTGCACATTATAATTCCTTGGCCGCTTACCGTTTACTTGGATTCATTAAAAAGATCAGCCCGTTAAAAACTGATATGTGATCCTGTTGATGTAAGAATTTCAATTTCAAAGTTGTAAGCATCAGGTCTGTTAGGGGGAGTGCGGACCCCCTGGATTCACCACTGTATTGTTACTGTATGGTGAAATTATTTCTCAGTCAATCCTGAGAGTGGGAGAGTGAAAAAAAAATTGTTCCCAGACCTGTAGATGAAACTTGTGTGTCCTGTATAAACCTGAAGACATTCACCTGTGCTCATCCACCTTCTAATGGTGCTGGTGAAGGAAAGCAAAAGCTTTTCACACAAACCACAAAAATTGACATACATGCAAATGCTACCAGTTCTCTTTTCTTACCAGTCATTTGAACAAGACACAAACTCCAGAGCAGAGAGAACAGCCAGACCTCTGACACAGTCACTGTGTCCAGTAAATGTAATTTGACACGTCCCTGCTTTCCACATCTTAATGGTCTTATCAGCTGAACCTGCAGAGTATTAAGCTAATCATTTACCAACAACAGATAACTGGAGTGTGAAGTCCCTGACAAAGCTTCCATCAAACTAAAGTACATGTGTATGCAATAATCCAATTCATCAACAGTTGTACAAAAACAATCTTACTAAATACATTATTTTAACATACTAAGGAACATCTCTTAATTGGCCAATTAATCAAAACAAAAATCTCACTGATTTGGACAATCTAAAACAAGGAAACAATTCAATTTAATTACTATTTTTTTACAAAGTAAAAAAGAGAGAACATAATCAAACTACTATGACTTCATTTTCATCTGTAATTAATCATAACCTCTTTACTTCAAAGGTCCCATTAGTAAATCTCCTTACTGTCTGCTATACAATTCTTATGATGTTAGTTTGCAGATTTGGCATTGGATCAACTAAAAGTTCCCTAACTGATATTTATTCTCACCACTTGTCTGCTTGATGTCATATTGATATCATAAGGAGAAATTTCTTACCCGATGGGTAAGAATGAGGGCCCCACTATGGCAAGTTGGGCTCCCTCATTAAATATTATTATAAATAATTATGTCGCAGAGAAATCAACTGAATGCTACATTCTAATCAGGCAGCACAGGGTGAAAACCGTAACCTGTGAGACATAGAGTAAAAAATAAATGTACATTAACTAATCCTAAAAAGTTTTTCCGTTGTGTCTACGGTCTTCCTTCTAACAGGAACTCAAACTGCCACCTTGAAAGTCCGGGCAATATTCAGCGTGCCCAAGAGCACTGCCCTCTGCATCTTTTGCAGTACGTCTGTGCTTCTGCCTCCCACCAGTTCGCACATCATGACATCCAGCACCCATTATTATTATTATTATTATTATTATTATTATTATTATCATTATTATTATTATTACCCGATCACTCATCGGAGTTGAAGAGTTAAACTAGACTATTATTCTACAGTGAATAAAGGGTGAAAGTTTCTAATTAAAGAAACTGTGGTGCTGCGTCGGTGAGGGTAACAAGGTAATTGGTTGTATCAACTAAGTTGAAATTGTACATTGGCCACTGTAACGAGTTAAAAAGCTGATGTTTCAAGCCTTAGCCCTTTGTTTACCTCTGATGAAGGGCTCAAATGCTTGTCAGAGCAAAACAAAGGGCTAAGGCTTGAAACATCAGCTTTTTAACTCCTTATGGTGACCAATTTACAATTTCAACTTAATTGAATTATAACCAATTATATTATTCTACTGACAGTGCTTGTATAGTGTATGTACCTGTGAGCATAAGCCCATGATCTGGCATTAGTTGGACAGCCCATACTGCTGCTTCATGGCCTTGCAGTTTCATCATACACTTGCTTCCAATCCACACACGTGCTGTGCTGTGAATCAAATTAGATATATAGGAGTAAAATCATTTCTAACAAAAAAAATACCAGTACTGAGGGTGGGTGATGTGAAAGCCTAAAGGTTACCATTACTACACGTACATGGACATTCTGAAACATAAAGTTGGGTCTCATTTCTGGTTGGATCATTGTGAAGTGCTGTTCCATTCACACAATCAACTCTAGCAGAGCCCCTCTTATCCCAAGAGTGTGTAAAATTAATGGTTACATGAAACTGTCTAGAAATTAGGATGGACCAACCTTCCCCCTCCTCTGCACCCACATCTTGAAAGAATAGGTAGTGTGATAGCTTCAGTCAGTTTTTGCTGTATGTACACTGGAAAAGCTCCTGAGACTGTACTGCATCAGAGCAGAATTGACCTTTAAAACAAAGCTTATTCTATTTACAAGATTTACTTACTTGTCCCATGATCCAGAGAGAAGTGTTCCAAACTTTCCAGCAATTAAAGAACATACTGCTCCACTGTGACCCTCCAGTTTGTGGAGAGGCTCTGAAGAAAGAAAATAAATTCAAAACAAAGACAATAATTAAAAACTTTAGTATTGTTCATTAAAGAAAAGGAGGGGTTGAAAAAAAAAAAAACACTTAAAATTTAATGTTTTAAACGGTATTTTGAAAAGAACACTGTTCACAGAAATAAAATAATGTGAGGCACTGCTGTATTTCAATATCAAGACATCTCAAAATGTAACTGAAATAATCTAAAATATCAATTTCACAAGGATAAAAAAAGTCACCATCTTTCACTTTTTTACAGTTGAAGTTAAAAAATGTAGATTCATTAATGGGTATTATTTGTAAATTCACCTAACATTGTGAGAATAATTATATATAGCATACCACAAAAAGAAAAGAAGAAAATCATAAGCTGAGTGATGTGGTCCTGATTTAAGAACAGATACAGTATACAGATACAGTTTATTGTTATGCACTATTTACAAAATTTATAACATCAACAGTGTATACAAAAGGAAAAAAATTCCATCAATTAAAGAGGAAAAAAGTATTACAAGATGCAGCCAAGATAAAATGTGCTCAGTGACCAAAGTAGCATAGGCTTTCATATGACACATCAGTCAATTATAATAGAGATCAAAGAATAAAAAAGAAAATAGAATAAAAGTTCCATAGATAAACTATATACAGATTATACAGAAGCTTCAGTGTTTAAAAGGTGTAATTAATAATTATTGGTTGAAGAAGGAAGTGTACACTTATGATTCTTCAACAAGGTGCAGAATTCAGTAATATTGCTGGAGCAGATAGAGAGACATGTCATGTCGCCATACTTAATTCACTTGGTAAACCAAATAAGTTCTCGTGTACAAGTACAAGTTACCATGATTAGTTAACAATAAAATGTGTAATGCCAGTAATGAGAATCAACTCTCAGATATGAAAGGAGCAAAAGAGTTAACACACTCTGACCCTTAACAGTAGATGTCTAGTAGATCTCTATCCATTGAGCTAAAAGCAAAAGAGTTAACACACTCTGACCCTTAACAGTGACCAGCATCTAATTAATTTTCTCCTTACAATATCAGCCCTGAATCACACATTAAGGTCAGGAGAATAAAGGAAATGATCACCAACTAAATGGGCTCTTGATTGTTAAACAAATTCTCCTTGTCAGCACCTTAGGAAATGTATGAAGAACAGCATGGAGAGTATGCAATTTCATGTTTGTCTGTAAAGGGTTAATGCAGAAGTCCATGTGATTCTTAAGACTATCATTTACCCACCAAGAGAATCCAGTGTCCACACAAGAATCATACTATCATGGCCACCAGTGACTACAAGACCTGGGGAATGAAACATCTTACATTACTCCAAAAAACTGAATTCATTCAAATGTATCACCTTCAACTCCTTTTCTAATGTTTTTTTTCCCTGTAATCAGTATTTCTTGTACCTATGTATAAGTGATTGTGAATGCTTTCTCTGAGTCAATCCAGGCAAACACCTTTCTTATTCTTGATGATTCAAAGACACTGGGTAACATAAATCACTTGAATTATGCCATAAAGAAATCTTACCAACATTTATCCCAGTAACCATTAGATGAATGCATAGTTAATCGAGGGAGAAGGAATGTCACTAGGCTTTTAGGACAGGTTTGCCACAATAATTGACACCACCATTAGATAACTATGTAGCTGTTTACATGGTCTTATAACTATACGTTAATTCAGCAATACGATGAAGTTTGCATCTCCTGTTTTATTCAAAAGAGACATCTGAAATAAAAAATTTACTAGGTCACAATGACTCGACGGCTGTTGTCAGAAGTTTTCAGTTTTTATATAAACCTTATTGATTCTAACAATCAATTAGTCTCTAGCTAAGAAGGTAGGGAAACCGACCTCCATCTATATGTTATCAAAAAATGAGAAAAAAGGAAGATACCGTGAGGGTATTTATCTGTAGGAGGAATCGTACAAACGGCAGAGATGAAGTTAGAGTGTCCGCTGAGAACATGCCTTTCTTCAAAACCAAGTTTTCCTTCACTAGGAATCCACAATCGAGCTGTCCTATCCCTTGAGGCTGTAATGATTCCTCCCTTAGGGAAAACAGCGGGACAAACAGCCCTCACATCTAGTTCATGGCCTCGTAGTACACAACTTAATTTGTAGGACATTTTTATCTCTTCTTTCTCGCGAAATCAGTTGTTAAAATTGTTGGTGTCAAATACATGAAGGAACTTTCTGTCATGAAATTGATCCACTGACCGAGGAAAGGCTACCAAGTCAAACCAACAGCGCGAACACCACGCGAGAACGCGAGGCCCCGCGCGACCCTACCGCTCCGAACCGTTCGCTCGAGAAAGGGTTTGAGCACGGCCTTACTTACAGTTCATTGCTGCCAGTCAGCGCCTGAACTACTAATCGAGGCTAAAAAAAGGAAGAGCTGCTACAAAGGAGTTAACTATACTGTAAAGTGCAATACTGAGAACAAGAGATTATTTACAGTTTACTTTCTCTTGACTGCTCGGAACCCGGCATGTCGTACTCAGTGCATGGTTTTCCTTTTCGTTCACAGGTCGAGTTCGGGGCTTTACTGCGGTTCAATTCAAATGTAAATAACACGGCTATCTTTATAGATTAAAAAATCGTCAAATATTTGTGAAAAAGAAATTCGTGGCTGGTATGACACGGTGTGACCATTACTAGTGTAGGCCACCGTAGTTTCGTCTCGGTCAAGATACCATGAAAAATCTTGAGTGTGCAATACTCTTTTCAGAGCACCAAGCCTTCAAGTCTAACGCAAACGCAACTTTTGTCTGCTTAAAATTCAGGCCTAAAAGAAGGAAATTTTGCATTTAGAAATACATAACGGGTCCATAGTCACTGGGAATTATTCTTCACCTCAACTTTGTAAACTATTCGGTTATTAATCATTGCGACCACTAAGTCGTGTTGAGTAAAGACAAATTTAAAAATCCCTGAGCGGCATGGAAGAGCAAAAGGCGGGAAGTGGTTCCTTTGACTAACGGTGCCGTATATCTATATTCAGTGACGGTTCAAGGTCATAATTTTATTTAAAGCTAAGCAAATTAAACAAATAATCCGTCATGAGGAATTCGGTCCTAATATTCACGACGAAAAAAACTGTGAAGATCTGTTAATCAATATCGTGTTCAAATTAAACGATTTTACCGTTGTGCCTATGGCATAACTCACCACTAAAATACTTTCAATTGTCTTTTACACACTTTTTTCTTAATCCTTATTTAAAAAAATAACGTTCCTTTTGCCAAGGACATGCAACCTTAGGCATAGAATTTATCAATCATAAAGTACATATTTGGGAGAAAAATATCAAATCTGAGCGAGGCGCGAGCCTGATACGCAAGTAACTGACATCTCACTGATCAAAATCTAGGATGGCTTTCCTTCCTTGCGTGCACAAAGGTGAATCGAACCGCTGTTGACTCACTGGGTCCTCACTTGTTGAAAACGATTGCCCTCAGAAGTTTGCTTGTTTATACTGACCTTAACAGGCTCATTGGATCAGTTTTCAACTGAAATAGATCATTAGAAATTATCTGCGGTGTGAAATTCTAACGATTTATAACGACCTAGCCTCTGGCTAAACTAATTTGCATCGGCGATCAATATACTTAGGTTACCTAAAATCTTTTTGTTAGCCCGCTCGAACCTTTATTGGTCAGTCGTGCATATCACTAAGGCAAACACAAAGGGTTAAGAGAATAAATGATCAAAACAAAAGCAGAAAAGCTTCCCTGATCGAAATATTATATTTTTGAAACCCAGCCAAGCGAGAAAAATTACCCTAGAATTCAAACAACACCGCGTCCTTTCGTGCAAATAACTTTCCCGGCTGGACATCTAACGGTCAAATCTGTCTGTAAAATAAATAAATCTACTAAACTGAGCCTTTTGACTCATTTGAGACTTGCCTCTTACAAGGGAAGGTTTGATTCGCACAGTGAAACATCTGAAATGAAACGCACCAAGCTACCGTTGACGCTAATCGTAGTTTTTAGCTTCTTGTTCATGTATATCGAGCTCTCATGCGCAAGGTCTTACAAGGTAAACACTTTTTCTGAATCTAATCTATGTTGCAGTCACCGATTGTAATTTTGCTGTGATTTTGTGAAATCTACTATATTATTTTGGAAAAATAGGACATTCACCATCTGCTAACCGATGACGAAAGGGAAATGATTTTTGGACATCCATTTGTAGAATATGGTGGGTACTACTGCATGGAGGCAGTTTTTTACGTAATATCTGTTTTATGATGTAACTTTCAATTGACCGTTGAAACAACTGAAAGAACCGTAATTCAAAATTTAAAATTTGATCCCGGCTACCCGTTTTAAATTGTAATTTTCAACTTGGAAAAAATATATTATCCTTTGCCTTCTAGTGTTTCTTTTACAAGATGACTGATACTTTAGAAACCGGTAAACCGAATATTTACAAAATCCTCTAGAAAAGGTCACTGATGCTGCCTCACTCACAGGATCCAGGTCTACCCCAGGAACCCACCAATATAAGGCCGGGTTCTGTTAGAGACTTTTCTTATAATGTGATAGAATATAAAAATTTTAAGAAAACAAAGCCAAATTTATCGTGTCTTCTAGTTGCATCCTCGGGCAAAACTAGCATTCATGCTTAAACCATTATTAACAGCGAGTTTGAAAGTCCGGTGACCTAGTCACTTCATCATCGATTACGTTCATTTCCGATGCCTGTTTTCTTTTCTGAGGACTTTGCAAATTTAATTTGAATCTAATAAGCGTTAATTGAAAAAATTGCTAGTATTCCGTTACATGTGATAGCAGAAGGCGTTATTCGCTCCAATATGGTTTTTTTTAATCGTTTTGGTATGAAAACAGGCATAGTGTTTGACCGTTTACGTCTTTGATCGGATATGATTTTCAAAATAAAAAAGTATAAACGTCTATTTGTTTTAAATCCCGAGTGACTAAAAATGAAAGAAAGGAAAAAGAGAAAGTAGCATTTTTTCGGTCTGAAGCAGGGCCAGGGTTTGAAATGGTTGGCGACACATTTCGACAAGAATTCCGATGAACAAACCTCCCCCCACCCTGCTGGGGATTTCGAATGCCACGCCACAGGATGTCCATTATAACCGTTAACGTCTTAACATTCCGTGAAATTTGTTCCACCTATTAATTCAAATTTGGGCTAGTCATGCGTTATTCTATTCCAGGAGTCCATTGAGGCGTGTGTCTTAATTGTTGTTGAAACAAAAGAGACTGATCGGTAATTACGCTAATCCGCACAAGATTTATGCTCTGAAGCTGAAAAACTGGAACATGATTTCATTTATGTACAGTGTGATTCTACTAACTGCTCTTCTTGCAAAGAAAAGAAAAAGTTAACCATAAGCCAGTCAGGGTGGAACCATATACAAAGAAACTGTAAAATCAAGGTTTAGACCATAGTGAGTTCATTTGCACATTCATTCAATTTATTTGCGAACATACTTTCAAAAAGGCAAAGAACTCTCACATGATTTACTCTTCGTTATTGTCATTGTTATTGTTCTTGTTACGAAGAGAAACAAGATGTGAAGGCTAATCAATCAGTGCATGACGTTTTTTTCCATTTTCTTAAAATGCCAACGCAAAATTTAAAAAAACAGCCAATCATTTTTTTTTTTTTAACTCAACATTTTCCCATTTTCTATTTTTACCCACAGTTCCAGAGTTCGATGTTTCCCATCCTATTCAAGTTGATGGGCGAGGTAGATTTTTGTCACGTGACTTGGCAAATGGGAACGCACGCCGAAAGAGAGACCTAGATGGCATCAAGTCCAAAGAACCCGTCTTCTTCAAGCTCTCAGCGTTTGGTCAAAACCTTCACCTGAACGTTACAATTAATGATGAGCTTTTCTCGCCCAATTTCGAAATCGAAATCCGCGGCAACGGCACGTCGGAATTTCATTACGAAATTGATCATTGTCATTACATTGGACAGGTGGTTCCCACAGGAGGAACTGGGAACAAAGTGGCCATCAGCAACTGCGATGGACTAGTAAGTATTACTGTTCAAACGCGGTGTTTTGTACCTCAGGCGATCTCTTTTCATTTTAAAGGTGTAGTAATTGACAAAGTTTGTCTAAGAGGCCGCTTCAATTTTTTTCAAATTGGTAGAAACGGAAGGATGAGTTGTGTTATTGCTGTGGAGAACACTATCGCCAATAATTAGCATAAGTAGCACGAGGACATTTTCATTCGTGGACACGAAGAACATGAGAACGAGTAATGTGTTGATTCAATGCGCACATTTCGTGGCGTTAGCATGGCCCAAGAACTCTAAGGAGAGCATGCATCTTATCAAGATTGCGAGCCGATTACCAAATTTGGTGGATCAATTAGGGAAGACTTATGTGGGAAAACAGCTCAATTCTGCTTCTTGTCACAGAAACATTGGCTTTTAGAATAATCACTAGATATTCTAATTATAATCGGCACAGCATATCTACGAGTTCACCATAGTGTCACTTTGATTTTAACTCAAACTAGGTCAGATAGATTCTGTACACTAAAAAGAAGTGGAACGAAGCAAGAGACATGATCGTCGATGTCTCGTTGTCAGTTAAAATGACAGGAGGATATATGGAAAGAAAAAAAGCACTTTTCATAGCGAGGACTGTTGGCATCCCCTCCCAATTCCAACCTTGTTTTTAGAAAAAAGAAGTTGTCTTATAACGTCATAACAGACCAGTTATAGTTGATTTCTTCTATTTGATTTCTTTTACAGCATGGTATGATTCGCACGCCACAAGATGTTTTTATGGTACATCCTCTACCCGATCGACTTAAATTGGGAAAGAACAACACTCGAGCCCACGTAATCCACAGGAGGTCTTTATCACCCGCGCATGCACATTCATTAGCTCAGGCTTTGGAGGAAGAGAAAAGATCTGATAGCTGGTGTGGAGTGGAAGGTATCTTATGAAGACTGCGTTTTTTATTTCCCACCCTTTGCATGGCCTGCACGTTGTCGTTCCCTTGAAACCAGTTTCACGTTTCCCCTCGCCTAAATCCCGCGATAACACGTTTTTCCCGCACTTAGCAACTTTTCCTGGAGAACAGCAGCAATACATTTTCTCCCAACTCTTACATCGGCTGCATTTTTATCGTTCATTACCATGAAATATCACAGAAACGTGGCTGGGACTCTGTAAAGGAGGGTCAACACCGTGTCACCCCAAGGGTACCCACCCGACTGCCATGTCAAAATCCATGCTGTATTTTATTTCAATTACAAAGTGACATCTCGCGGGTTGAGCCCTGAGTAACACATTCCCCATAAACTCTTTGGATCCGTGTTTATTCACCAACTGGATTCTATGCTTGGGGAGTCGTACATAAAGCGTCCCGGGTACNCTGATTTTCTAGGGGGGGCAACTGTTCAGCAATCTGACGAAGGTGATGACAACCATGAGAACTCCGACCGCTCTTTTCGACCGAATAAAAAAAGAACCATCGAGTCCATGTTAGTGGTAGAGAAAGAGATGACAAGATTTTACGGTGTTTCTCAAATCGAGAAATATGTACCCACCATGGCAAATATGGTACGTTGTAAAAACATAACATTGAACAAAATGCATTGGGAATCTAAAGAAGCAGGTCCCAGAAGAATTCAAATAATTTTCCTTAGTTGATGATAGAGGATTTCGGTGGGGAGATAGCTTTTACGGCTTACTGTAAGCATTTTGGCCATTTTACGGCAGTTGGTTAATTTATTTCCATAAGTTTGAGTTACAACTGCAGGGACTTGTTTCCGCTACAATGCAAATCACTTGGATCTATTGACTCCGCCCGCTTCTTTTTCTGTCAAAGGCTACAACACCACAGGTTGCCCAGTCTATTTCGCTTTTCTTTCTCAGCTTACACCGGTCGAGCTTCAACGCCTTTAACTCACAACTGGTACGCCCTGTGAACAAAGACATCCCAAATCTTCCTTTAAACGACGCCTCAGTCGCACGTTCACATGTTAGAGAGAACTTCCCATTGCATGCCAAACAATGATAAACACTAATTAACAACACTCTTATTTTAGGCTCAGGGCCTCTTAGCCGACGCTTCGATTGGGGCTAACGTCAAATATGTCGTAACCAAACTATTGATTTTGCAAAAAGACCAGGTGAGCTATGGATTCGAGGCAGCAATCACATTTGTTGTAGTTAAGTTTTGCTATACTTCACGAGAGACTCTTAACAGAATTCTACTTATTCTAGTGATGACATCGTCTTTTAGGACAGGTAAGCGTTAAAATAGTTCCTCACAAGTGTAACCGTTTGGTGCTGGAACGCACGACACTAAGTTAATTTTCTGAGAAAAAATGCTCAACTCTCATAAGTAAATTAAACTTCTACCCTTGAGAAAATAGCTAGAGTAAAAATTTAAACCATAAATTTAAAGAACCATATTCTCATAAGTGAACTTCCCACCCTAGAGAAGATAGTTACAAGGAAATTTTAACAAACCATGGTTTAGGACGTTTCCTGTGAATTTCCAATAATTTTTTTTCTTTCTTCCTTCGCTTCTGCCATCCAGCCAGGTCTGGTTATTAGCACCCATGCCTCCAGCACTTTGGATAATTTCTGCAAATGGACAACAGGACAAAATATTCCTGACGACACAAGTCCACGTCATTTCGACCATGCAGCACTCTTTTCAAAGTAAGAAATGTCTTACAATAGTAACATTTTTCAAGGTGTACTCAGATGAATTCAAATGGGAAAATTTTAAGATAAATGCGCATATTGTTTTAAAGGCGACAGAACTACAGGAACTGACTGAAATACAGCAGCGTTTGCTTACATAGATTTATAAGTTAGTGTTGGCCCTTGATTCAAAAACTTGAAAAGTAAAGTTTTCTTTGACCGAAATTGAGCAATTTTAGGTGTAAATGTGATCAAATGCTAGAGAAAACCTTTCAAGTGAGACAAACTGGTATTTTGCAGGTACAATTTTTGCAGAAACAAAGGAAATGTACAAGACCAGGGTTGCGGAACTATTCTAGGTAACTCAATCCATTTCTAAATCAAAATTCTTTGCAAAGAAGATGTAAAAGATTGCATTGGTTTCAAGTCATAAACAGGTCATCAGAGGCTTTCCTTTTTAACTTTTTAACGGCTGAGAATATTGAAACATTTGCAAATATTCTCGTTCTCTTTTAGGTTTAGCGCAATTGAAGGGAATGTGCAGACCAGACGTCAGTTGTACTCTGAACAAGGACACGGGACTAGGAACTGCGTTTACATTGGCTCATGAAACAGCTCACAAGCAAGTGACTTAACGTTATATTGCTTTTAGCACGCGAATTCAGTACGCGATATGAATTACTTGTTGACGCATGCGCACGTCAAAATTCATACCTCTCAAAATAAAAAAAAATATTCCTAAGATATTTGTCGAGTATTATTCATTCGCCTTTCATCTTAAGGAAGGTCGATTTTTTTAGAAATAGTTATCAATATGGTATCCACTAGTAATCAGATCATTCAAATATACCTAAACCTTTCTTCCTCTTTTGCTGAGAATTGATCCATGTTTATAAACACCGAAAAAAAAATCCAAAGCACATTCCCTCAAGAGAAAACAATGCGCAGTGAAAATGCGTATTTAATTGCAATGAATGATAAAAGGCGAAGGCCAAACCAGTTGTGTCTTCCCGTTTTTCCTTTGTCAGTCTCGGCTCTGAACACGACGGGGAGGGGAACAAATGCAGTGATGGCGTCTACATTATGGCGACTAGGGCAAGTGGGAAAGTGACCGCGTTTGATTGGTCGCCGTGCAGTAGGAATTACGTGACAAAATTCTTACAGTAAGTGGGGTTCAAGTACTTTCAACTCGACGGTTTGCAATGACTGTTCTCTACGTTTTTTTAAAAGTGTGCGTGACATATTATAATCTCGATGTAGGAGGTTTTCCCAGTAACATATACCCGTGAGCGCAAAAAAAATGGGAAAAGAAAAACTTGCAAACCTGGCAGCTAGCCAAAAACAAGCCACGTAGTGTTTCGTAAGCCTCTGTCGTTTTGTCAGCGTCATGAACGAGCGAACTACAGAATAAACATTGTATTCTAAAGTAAATATGTGTTCGTGAAAATTTCTCTGATAAAATTATTTATAGTCTTAGTGTTCCGTAAAAGGCAAGTTCATTAGAAATAGTTATTTCCTTTAATTATATTCTTTTTTTTTTGTCCCTATTTAATGAAATATTGCAAACGGCGATAATTTTTTGCCTTTTTAAGGACACAACAAGCTCATTGTTTGAATGACAACGAACCCAAAAGCAAATTTGCACTGCCAAAAGGCTTACCAGGAAAGCGTTACGACGGAGATGCTCAGTGTGTGCGCATGTTCGGAGCAGGTGCCAAAGTCTGCGAAATCCCGGATTTAAAAGCGGTAACTATAAAATTTGGGTCGAACTATGTTTAAACGCATCGTTTGATAGTTCATGGTTCTAATCTTTGAATTAGTTGAAAATAGTGGAGAGAAGCTTGGTTACGCTAAAAGAACCGAAAGAGTGAAAATTAATGTGACATTAAAGGGTAACAAATACTTATAATAAACACTAGTTTTTATGTAACTTACAAACTAAATCTTTGTATCCTACAACAGAAAATGTGTGTCAATTTACACTGCGAAAAGCCTGATGGGTATTGCTCGTCAAACGATGAACCGGCCGCTGATGGAACCAAATGTGGCAATAACAAGGTTGTATGCAACAAACATAAAAGCTAATCTTGAATTATTCAAAATTATAAGAAACATTAAAAGTTCATCTTGATTTTTTCTGATAATCTTGATATGTATATATATATATATGCCTCTCTCTCCCTCTCTACATGTAACTTAAAGATCCTTAACAGTATCACAACCTTTCCTATAGATAATGTGTTTAATGTAGAAAACGTATGTTCAATCAATATTTTCTTCTTCTTCTTGATTGGTTTCTCAGTGGTGCATGCGTGGTCGCTGTGTATCTGATGAGATCAAACCGGGATACCAGGACGTGGATGGCAATTGGGGAGCATGGAAACCATGGAGTAGCTGCTATCCCCAATGTGGTCAAGGTCTTAGCACGAGGGAGCGCAAATGCGACAATCCAGCGTGAGTAACACGAAGTCACTTTAAAGTTCTATACTTCAAAAGATTGTTCTAACAACCTGATTTAGTTTGAACCGCTTATTCTTGATCGTAAAATTCATTTTTTTCCATTGTCTCTGCGGAAAGCCCCTGATCAAACAGTGCAGATGTTGAAGGCAGACTCAGCAACTAACTGAAATTTCCTTTGCTTGTGTGACAAATGCACTACTTCCAATCTGTGACAATTTCTGTTGAAAAAGACAGAATCCTCGCTATTTTTTTTATAAACCTTGACCCTGGTAGAGCGAATATCTCTTCAGGCTTCAGTTATTATCTCATCGAGAACAAGAGCGGTAAAAAAACATACTTTGATTTTTATGTCAGAAACAAGTATATGGCTAAGAAACATCACAAATGAGTGCACTGAAAAGTAACCACTGAACGGCGGGGCAGCCTTCGTACGACAAATTCAAATATTTTATTCATAATTTTCAGGCCGAAGCGTGGAGGGAAACTATGCCAGGGAAACGCCAAGGAATACAAGTTTTGCAACAATCCGGTAATTGATTGTGGATTTTTCGTCTGAGCTATTTTCACTCACGTGCAATTTATCATCATGATCATGATGAGTATTATGATTTACTGTTCCAATTCTATTTCATTTTACCAAGGAAGATAACGAGAACGCACACACGTATAATACGCCATGGTATTACATTGTAGACGAGGGCAAAAATACGGAGCAACAAAATGGCCGCACTGAACGATCCAAACTTTAATTTTTTCCGTTTTTTTAGGCTTGACTTTTGGAGAAAGAACTTTCAAGCGCGTCGGTTTTATCTTGGTCACAATGAAAACCTCAGTGGTTTCGTTCAAATTGTTTTCGTCCTTCGCATACGATTCATAGATAAGACCGTAGGATGTATCTCGCAAATTGAAATAAAGATGCTTATAAGTGAAATAATAGTGAAATAATACGAGCGGACATTTTGCTCGTTACTCGTATTTTTCCAGACCCCTTCGGGAAAAAGAATATTCGCACATATCATATGCTAAACCATACAATAAGGTGTATATATTCAATGTCTTAAAACAGATAACTGTTGGGTAGACCAAAAGCCTGTACCTACAGCCCTCCATAAAAAATTAAAGTATTTGTCCCGCTCTCTATCTCAACGATGCATTGAGGAAGAAAGTTATCAAATGGCACGATTGTTTTTTCACAGAAATGTCCATCAAGCTTCGAAAATCCAAGAAATAAACAGTGTAAAGATCACAGACATGTACAGTTTCAAGGAGGTCCTTATAACTGGATCTACGACCCATACTATGCACAAGGTTGGTAGTTCAAAGTCCTCGGCACCAGATTCCCTCCTACTTCGACACCGGTCACAGATGATGTATATACCTCTGCATTTTTTGATTGAGCCATTTGAAATTACTTCCTACTGAATCTACCGTGAAAGAAGAGGTTCAGTTCCATATTGAGGGAAATAAACAAGAATTACACAAAGAAACATAATTTAATGGGACAAAGGAACAAAAAAACAAAAACTAACGCTACCACACATTGTCTGTGGAATTAACCCTTACTATGTGTGTCGGGGAATGGCACGTCGAGGGAACGAATCACGCCACATAGAGCCTGCTTTACCGCTTACGCGAAGCTGGCGGACCTCCTCTCTGCTAGAATAATTTCTTGCTATTGTTTCAGAGTTGTTCGAAAAAAGAAAAAACAAATCAGACCACCTGCATCGAGATTTTAATTGTGCGAAATATTAAAAATTAACCTGCCTCCTACTAATTGAAATAAAAATTTAACGCCGTTTGAATCAACGCGAGATTTTGTAGGCGAAGCATCAATTTCCTTTAAAAAATTTCAACTAAGAATGCCTGTCCGTTTTTTTGCCTTAATCAGGAAGTCCCAAGTGCGTTCTGAGTTGCGCTACAACTAACGGAGATACCACATCCTTTGGAAACGTTAAGGATGGAACACCTTGCACTGATCAGCCTAACAGTGGTGTCTGTATCAATGGCAAATGTCAGGTAACAAAATAAGATCGAGAAAATAGTTCACTCAGGGAATGTATAAGAGAAGAAGGTACCTTTCCTTTTGCCCTTTCACCAAACAGACGAACTGTATGCGCTTGGACTTCTGAAAGAGTACCAAAGATCCATTGTCCCCGAAACTGACAAACTGTTAGGTTATCCCGCAATAAACACGGCGTGAGTACATTTTGAGATACACGTACTGAAACTTTGCAACGCTATTAATATTATTTCGAGCATAAAACGAGCATTAAAAATAATGAAAATCTTCGCTCTTGATGTCGAAAATATTTTAGCCATTTTTTATAGCAAAAGCACCATCTAAAACATTTTCAATTAAGCGAGACGTTTTATCTTAGAGTTAACTTTATAACCAGTGTTAAAAATGCTTATTGCTTACAATGAAAAATGGGAAAACATTCATTTACTTCGTGAAGTCAATTATTTACGGTTAATCTCCAGGTCCAATGATTATTTCAAATCTTAGCCTAACCAAAGTTTTTTTTTAATAACTGCACTTAAGATCATTTACAATGCGTATCTCGCTTTGAAACTTTTCTCTCAAGAAACCAAAGCCGGGCGGTGGTAAACCAAAGCCCAGCGGAAGTAGGCCCAAGCCCAGCGGAAGTAGGCCCAAGCCCAGCGGAAGTAGGCCCAAGCCCAGCGGAAGTAGGCCCAAGCCCAGTGATATATTCAGAGGTACATACAGCAAAGTTCCACCAGCAGGTAAGCTCTGAACAGTAGAAAACATAACTTTAGAAAACAGCGACCAATGTCTATGTATCCTCTTTCTAGTTAAGCGTATTAAGCCACATTTTAAAATACTTCCTTAATCCTTACTTGAACACTAGAGTTTTCTATTCCAGTCAGTTCGCAAAAGGGACTCTGGGGTTTGTGGAAGAAAGCAGCATAACGTATCTTTGGCGCTTAACAGTCAAGTGCTCGCTCTTTCACAAATCACTTTGAGATGAGAAAGGGGGTGGTATCATGCAGCTATGTTTTATTCAATTTCATTGTAAGGTCTTTTCTTATTTCAAGTATTGACATTTTGTGCTGATAAATGCTAAGGCTTACCACTATTCATAAAGCAGAGTAGTCGAAAAATCAGCACAAAACACCAAAAGACTCATGCTGATTTCATTATTTTTTTGAAACAATGTAAAACACTGAATACTTAGGGAAGGGATGGGGGAGGAGTAGGGGAAGGTGTGTGAGGGGGTAGCCTACGCTACTGCCACGCAATTCTTCCACCCAATCTTTTGATATTCAATCTAGAAAGTCCCCCCTAACTTTTGCCTGAAAAAAATTTCATAAACACTAACATCGTCACTTCCTCAGAAATGTTGATTGGTGTTGTTTCAGACGAGTACTATGTCCCTATCGCAACAATTCCAGCTGGAGCAAGAAATGTCAAAATTGAGGAGGCGACAGCTTCTGAAAACAACTTACGTAAGTATATATGGCAAAAGCATTAAACAGAACATTATTCCTTCAGAACATTGTCACCTTCCGTCGAGTGGCTGTGAGCATGAGAAAAAATGCTTACATACTATTGAGCTCAACAAATCTCATAACTCAGTTGTCGAGCATTGCTTCAATTGAAGTTACGACATGATGTGCGTGTGATGTGATGTGTGATGTGCGTGTGATGTGATGTGTGATGTGCGTGTGATGTGCGTGTGTGTGTGCGAACTTAATACATTACTACTACTTGTAGGTATTTCGAAAGTACTTTTTAAACTTTTCTCTGAACGTCTTTGAATGGAATACTTTTACCAAATGATTTTTCAGTGATTGCACCGAGCATTTAATTTATGGCCAAAGCCGCATTTATGGCCAAAGCCAAAGCCATTTATGGCCAAAGCCGCATTTATGGCCAAAGCCGCATCCATTGAGCTAACCGCCTCCCGGTTAGCTCAATGGATAGAGCGCTGGACTGTTGTGCGGGAGGTCGAGGGTTCGAGCCCCGGCCGGACCAACACTCAGGGTCTTAAAATAATTGAGAAGAATTTGCTGCCTTTCTATAACATCAAGAAATGGTTAGATATTCTAGTCTTCTCGGATAGGGACGAATAAATGGAGGTCCCGTCTCCTGCAGGGTTGGGGTAGGAGACGTTAATTTCCCACACACGAGATTACTGTGTGATGGATGTCCTCCCCTGGGGTGGGATGGGTGGGATATAGGGCGCACTTAATTTGGAGCCTCGCTCTGTTGTGCGACCCTCACCACACTCTGGTGAAAGTGATTAAATAAATAAATAAATAAATCTCTGTGTTCAAGTAGAGGGGGTAACATTTCAATTAAAATCATTTCGCACCGCTTACTTACTGAGAGATCTAACATTCATATATTCATATCTGTCTAGAAAACCTAGCCCACTGAGCCTAATGAACAATGAACAATAAAGAGACAATAGAGCAAACAATTTTCAGAACACGTATCGTTGAATGATTGGTTTTAACATAACGCGAGGCTAGAATTTCATAATC